GAAATCGTAAAGGAATAATAACTAGTAGACAATATTACCAGAAAAAATTAATATTACTAACAAAGAGGGAATAGTAAAGGAATAATAACTAGTAGACCTCTTTTTTGTTTATTTTCTAGCAGGTAACTACTCTACGTCCTTACCTTAGCATTATTGCCAAAAATGGAATAATAACTAGCAGAAAATATTTCAACCAAAAATTAACGAGGTACTAAAAAAAGGAAAGAAAGTTTTTTTTTAGAAATTGTACAAAATTTGTTTTGTACTTTTTCAAATCTTCAATGATTAATTGTTCATACAGCTTAATTGGTTTGCCGGTGTTTAATGGCTTGGTAGAAAGTAAAAAAACTGTAATTTTCTAACAGGCCGTCAAAAATTCGACGTACTTCAGGGTAATCTTTTTCCATGTTTACTAACATGATGTTCAATATTTTGCTGTAATTTCAGAAGGGAAAGGCCGCCACCCTTTCCAAACTACCTCTCGGCTCTCTTGCCGAATTCAGTTTTTGTCGCCCACGCCAATTTTTTTCTCCGTTTTTCCTCAAAGTGGAGCCTGGGCCCAGGCTAATATGTCCTTCGTTTACTCATCACAACTACTGCTGGTCGAGCTATCTGTGATATGCATTTCTCCTAAAGCGAAAAAAAAAGGAGTACATTATAATAAATTAACAAATTGTTTTCTGTTTCTCCAGATGTTGATAGGTGATTCCAATTTCATCATTAATAGTTCATAAAGAAAAAAAAACAGAAATTGATGTTTAGTGAGTGTCTTTATATCTGATAAAGACACGTCTAAACCTTGCATCTAATTTTTTAGGCCAAAAGCCTGAAACTACAGCTTTGTTTGAATACATATTCAGTAAATTCACATTTTAAAGAGGTGTATGTATGTCGTTCAAACATTGTCGTGAGTGTTGGCTTGGAAAGCAAGGGGATTGAAATATAGGCTCTGCAGGTTTGGATGTAACTTTTGGCTGTTAATATTGTGGCAAGATTGCTATTATCGAATTGTAAAAGGTATAACAACAGTACGTCTATGGAATGTTGTAAGGGACGCAAAATAGTGTAAGTGAAGGAGAAGAGGCAGCCTTTAATAAAAGTTAATCATAGCCTGCTTCCTTGTGTAAAAAGGTAAATGGTGTATAATCCAAAAGCTCTAGAAATGAAAGTTTACAAGAGTTTAAAGATTTCTTAATGGTGAGTGTCATTGCAAAACTTGGCGAACTCAGAGAGAGTCAATTGTGTTGTTGAGTTTGCTGTTGGTATCTTTGTTGTTGTTGTTGTAAATCTACTTTATGTGAGTCACTCTTTATGTCACTCTTAGTATCTTACCTTTTACATTATTAATTTACTTTTTCTTTCTCTTCATCAGTTCTTTTAACTCTTGATTGTGCTTTGTTTCTTATTTTTTTGTTTTCTTGTTTTAAATTTTCATTTTGTTCATTTGAAGTTTTCATTTTCCTCTTTTAAATTTTCCATTTCTGCTACTAAGCAGTACTTTTCTGTGGTGCTATTTATTAAAAGGGTTCCAAAGTTAGAACCACGATGTACAGCATAATATATAGTACTTGTCCATAAAATTGTTACTTTTAGCAACTTACCTTCCACATTATTCATTTACTTCTTCTTTCTCTTGGTCATTTCTTTTAGCTCCTGAGTGTGCTTTTGTTTGATATTTTTAATTTCTTTTTTTAATTTTTCGTTTTTCTTCCTTTAAATTTTCATTTTGTTCCTTGAAATTCTCGTTTTCCTCTTTTAAACTTTCCATCGCTTGCTTTAATTGTTCTTTTTGTTCTTTTAAATCTGCCAAAAAAATAGAAGACTTTGTTAGTGAAGCCTAGTATTCCGTACATACTTGTATTAGAGATGTTTTATTCCCTTAATTAGATCTTCACAGGGTCCCAACTTGGATTTTTCTTTCCCGTATTTTAACAGCAGCCTTTTTCTCTTCCTTGTCTGACTTTTGTACTTTTTTTTCCAACCTTTTTTCTCTTACTTTTGTTCCCTGAAACTTTCTTTTAGATAAAAATTCTCTTTCTAAGCCTACTTGTGCCTGCGAAGCGATTAACATGCTTAAAACAAATTCTGCAGGTACGGCTCTTCAGTTGGGTACTCAAGCTGGCAATAAGGGGCTATCGTACCTGATGGGTCCAAATAAAACAAGCAGCATACTCCATATTCTTTAATTGTCTGTTTATGGAGGTTTTGATGCATTCTCCTAGCTTTTGTGTGAATTACTTGGGAAAAAAATTCTGCTGATTGTTGGCGTGTGATACAAGGAGATTGAAATAGGCTGAGAGAATGTTGGTCTGTCCCTTTAATTTTAATGATGGTTTATCCTCTCTACTTTTAATTGTTTACAGATGGCTTGTTCCTTAGTGCTGAGTTAATAGATGTTGTCAATGTTTCGCTCTTGTTGCTATTTTAAGTATTCTTGTGAATCAAGTCACAATAGCTAAAAACCAAAAGTTAATATTGCTATGAGAAATGGAATAATAAA